AGATCCCAAGAGATGATGATTGAGAGCTCGGCGTTGAAGCTGTCGGTGAAGGAGAAGAAAAAGCTTGCTTCTTACGCGCACAGTTTGGGTGACAAACTGAAATGTCAACTAGTTGGCAAGTCAGGCGTCACGGATTCAGTCGTCTTCTCCTTCTTAGAGACGCTGAAGAAGAACGAGCTCGTAAAGGTACCAACTTTACGAGAAATCTCTCTGTTACGATATGTATGAAACAATCTCTGTAAGATTTGTACTGGGTAGTGAAATTGTGGTTTCTATTGGAAGAGTTGCTGTTTTGATCAATGAAATGGATTGAAGCTGTGAAAAACTTCAACTCTGAGCCTCACTTGGCTTTAAGCTTGATTTTTTTCCACATACAGGTGAAAATACACAAGACATGCCCTGGAGAGCTTGAGGACGTTATTCTGCATTTGGAGAAAGCCACTGGTTCAGTAGTAGCCGGACAAATCGCGCGGACTGTGATATTGTATCGTCCTAGTCCCACCAAATTGAAAGCTGAGGAGAAAAACAAAGGAAACACTGATGATGTTGGAGAGTTGCAATGACATGATTCTATCATCTATTATACCATTTCAGGACTCAAACCAGAGCCTTTTCTATACCAAGACTTTTTCCACTTCAGTCGGAATACATTTTTCCTGTTTTTCGATAATATAATCTCAAAGAGAGTTTCTTTTGATCTACAACTGAATGGGCTGTTCTCTCTGTTCCTTGTAATTTCCTTATGAGGTATATGGTGACTTTCTGAGCTAAGCAGCTTTGACTTTCTCGGCTGCATAGCGGCTTGTATCTTCCGAGTAAAGTACACCGTCCCGTGAAAGAAGACGTACAAGGGAAAGCGAAAACCGAGCCTGAAATTATTTATGTTAGATTTAAGAAGAGCAAAAGATGTGTGAAGTTAAGAGTTGTTTGGCTGAGTAAAGGCATAGCATTTTTTACCCATTGGAATCCCACGAGTGCATACCAGCAGCCTCTCAAGCCAAATCCTCCATTGCTCAGAAGCTTTTGGTCAATTGCAAAAAGAGGGGAGAGAGTTACAGAAACCGATTTCAGAATTCAGGAGAGTGATGGAAATTGAGGTCAAGAGGAGTGAGTACCATAAGTAGAACCCCAGCAACAGCGAGGCATCCAGTCATTGACAAGCTGATATATCTAAGATCTCTTCCAGCCTTCATTTTACAGACAACAGTTTTAGTTCTTTTGGATCATGTGATCGGACCTTTACAAGGAAATTCTGAATACACCCAGAAATGTACTGAGACACAAAAGTATAAGTTACCAGTAAGGTGCCTTCAAGACTGTGAGTAATTGGAGTGATAAATAAAGCAAGGAAATATGGTATTATGACCTTGTGCATCTGTCACAATATGGAGCGAAAAACTGTTTAGAAACTCGTCATTCTTGAAGATGTGCTGCCGGGAACAGATGAGAAAATTTTTAAAGAAGAAGGTAACAGAAATACCTCAGATGTGACAACCTTGTCGTGTGTAAAGATTTCAGGGAACAGCCATGGAACTGCTGTGCCAATGGTTCCCACTACTATTCCTAGCGTAGCACCGATGATAACAAGTGACTTCAGAAGCATTCTAGCCTACAGAGTACAGACAGTAGTAAAAACAGAGTTGCTTTAGGCAACAGTAAAAAGTTACTGCTGTGCCAATGGTTTCAGCTGAGGATTTTTCACAGACGGCCTTACCTTAGGCAAATTGCGATTGATTCCGAATAACAACTCAGGCATAAAGGACTGTGCAGTTTGAGAGAGAGGCTCCCCCCAAACCGTACTCATAGTATATGTCTGAAGCATAACCTAGAGACCAAAGGACCAAAAGATCAAAAGACGTTATAGAGCGAACTCATATCAGGAGAAGTGGTTGGTGGTGCGATACAAATGGACATCACCTGATGAGCAGCTATGATGCTTGTACCCATTGATGTAGCAAAGTACACCAGTAGCGTATAGAACAAAACCTAAGGGGATAAAACACAAATATCAGATACGAAAGAGACGATCCTGTTGTGTAACTAATTGTCTGACGTAGTAACCTTTGACATCATAGTTATAAAGACTGGGGCAGCGAGCCCAAAGATAGTCAAAAGTTCACTTGGAGAAGGAACACAGAGTGAGAACGCACTGTATCCTTTCTTGTTCAATGCGTCCATCATCATATAAGCTGCAACAACCTAAAACATCTTAAATTAAGACCATAGATAGACAGATAAGCCATGTTGATAACTAGCTGATATGGTATTGACCCAGACAAGAAGATTAGTCTCAAAACCAGGACTTTGATCGGAATCCTATAGATTTCAGCTTACCTGTGAGACCATAGTTGCCCAAGCTGCACCTGCTATACCGTATCCTAGAAAGGTGCATAAGACCACATCACCAACACCATTTATGACACTGGCAACTGTCAATGCCTTTAAAGGTCCCCATGAGTCTTTCATACCAAGACTGAGACAAAAACAAAAAAGAGAGAGAATGCTTCACCAGAATAACAGTGAAATAAAATTATCACAGCAGTATTAAGATCCCGTGGTCAGAATTGTGCTACAAAGCTGAAACTTTGGAAGTGCAAGAATGCAAGGAAAATGGGGAATAAAGGGACCTTGCACTTTGAGCAACCCATCCAATGAGAACAGCTGGCCATGCGAGACCACGGATCTGAGAATGGAAAAAAATATCATC